GCAGCCTCCCTGGTGTGCAAGCCCGCGTTCGGGCCCTAATTATTCGCACGAGCTCGCCGCTAGCCTCCGCGTGGGCTGCACGGCTCCTGAAGAATTCCTACGCGAGTCCCAGATCGAACCACCCCCCTGCCTCCCTGCGCGAACTTCCTGCGAGCTCCTGCGAGCTCCTGCGCGACCCCCCGCGCGTCTCCCGAGCTACCTGTCACGCGGTGCACTGGGCTGGCCTCGACAAGGGGGGGGGGGGGAAAGGAAGGGGCGGAGAGATACGCGAAACATCAGGCCCAGACATCTGGCGATTGAGCACCGTTCAACCGATCTCTATTCCCACTAGCGTAGCCTGGGCCCCACTGGCCAATGTACCCCCTTAGATGGGGACATAGGCTGTGCCCTTCGGGTTTCGAGGGGCATAATCCCAACTGGGATGGTGCGATGGTGGGGCTCGGGATGGGGATCGGGATGGGGATAGGGACCGGTTCCGTCCTCCAGGCGGATGTTCCCGAAATTCCACGTAGACGCCACCCTGGAAAGCCGAACCCTCTGACCGGCCCGGCGCGCCATGGAGATCCCAGGATCGGTCAGCATCGAGTCGGGAAATCGGATCGAATCGGAATGCGCGTCAGGTCAAGCTGGATCGGCACGGAGCCGAAATCGAACCGGACCGTCCTTGCCAGTATGCACAGCGGCGCCGTGCATGCAGCGGCGCCGCCCGTGATTCTCGGAGCACCAGAAGCGAGTCCGATCGAGTCGGATCGATCGAGTCGAAATAGGCCCCTAACCTGGGAGGCGACCAGAGGCCGCGTGCTGCTTCCCCAACCCCCAGGGCATGGCGCACGACTCCGCCCAAATCCTGGCCGAGCGCTGAATCCTCCTCCTCCTCCTCCTCCTCCTCCTCCTCCTCCTCCTCCTACCATCATCATCATCATCATCATCATCATCATCATCATCATCATCATCATCATCATCATCATCATCATCATCATCATCATCATCATCATCATCATCAGCGTCATCATCAGCCTCAGCATCAGCATCAGGCATCAGCATCCTCATCATCAGCATCATCATCATCAGCAGCAGCAGCAGCAGCAGCATCAGCATCAGCATCAGCATCATCCTCATCATAATCATCATCAACAGCATCATCGTCATCATCAGCAGCATTATCATCATCATCATCATCATCATCATCATCATCATCATCATCAACATCATCATCATCATCATCATCAGCATCATCATCATCATCATCATCATCATCATCATCATCATCATCATCATCATCATCATCATCGTCAGCATCGTCATCATCGTCATCAGCAGCATCACCATAATCATCATCAGCAGCAGTATCAGCATCATCAGCATCATCAGCATCATCATCATCAGCATCAGCATCATCATCATCATCATCATCATCATCATCATCATCATCAGCATCAGCATCAGCATCGTCATCATCATCAGCAGCATCAGCAGCATCATCGTCGCGTAGTCACCATTATCATCATTATCAGCATCGTCATCAGCATCATCATGGTCATCGACATCACCATCATTATCCTCGTCATCAGCATCATCATCACCACCATCATCATCATCATCATCATCATCATCGTCATCATCATCATCATCATCATCATCATCATCATCATCATCATCATCATCATCATCATCGGCATCATCAGCATCATTATCATCGTCTTCGTCCTCATCCCCATCCTCATCTTCATCCTCATCATCATCATCCCCATTCCCCATTCCTCGTTCCTCATCCTCCTCATACTCCTCCTCCTCCTTCTCCTCGTCCTCCATTCCTTTTCCTCATGAATGAATAGCTCCTCCCTGTCGCACCCCCAAGCCGGTCGAAAGTGCGGACCGGGCGGTTCGCCTGAGACCTCCTCACCACTTATGACCCTGATGCTTAATAATTGACAACAGTTTCACCAATTGAGGGCGGGTGGTTTTCAAAAGGTGGCTCTCGCCCTAGCGCTGCGCACATTCGCTACACAAAGCTGCAAGAGCTTCACGGATTGAGAGCAGGCCGTTTCGAAAATGTGGCTCTCACATTCGCGCCGCGTACATTCGTCTTACAAATGTGCAAGAGCTTCGCGGATTGAAGGCGGATGTTTTTTCCAAAACGTGGCTCTCGCCTCAGTGCCGCACACATTCGTTCTATAAACTTGTAAGAGCTTCACGGATTGAGGGCGGGCCGCTTTCAAAACGTGACTCTCGCCGTAGCGCCGCGCACATTCGCTTTAAAAAGTTGCAAGAGCTTCAAGAATTGAGGGCGGGTCGTGTTGAAAAGAGGCTCTCGCCTTAGCGCCGCCCGCGTACAGGGCAGTTTTTTTTCATTTGTAAAAATATAGGATGCTTAATACATGATCAGTGTATGACTAAATGTATGCATGAATTCATCGTTGTTTTTTATATTAAATCCCTGCATGTTTAATACATGATCCGCACGCGGAGCATGTATTATTAAAAACGGCACTGTACATTCGTCTTACAAATGTGCAAGAGCTTCACGGATTGAGGGCGGGTCGTTTTCAAAACGTTGCTCTCGCCTCAACGCCACGCACATTCGTTCTATAAATGTGTAAGAGCTTCACGGATTGATGGCGGGTGGTATTCAAAATGTGGCTCTCAGCGCCGCGCACACTCGTTTTCAAAACCTGGCAAGATTTTGACTCATTGTTATGGCTAACGTTCCAAAAACCGTGTTTCGGAACGGTTCAGGATTTCCAGGGCGCAACACTTACGCTGACTCGATGTGTTGAAGTCCAAAGAATGGTGTTCGGGCACGACTCAGGATCACCAAGACGTAACTGTAAAATTAATTCGTGGCGTGGAATACCTGAGACCGGGTGCCCGGGTCCCAGGGTGCCCGGGTGCCCAGGTGCCCAGGTGCCCAGGTGCCCGGGTGCCCGGGTGCCTTATAGCCCTATGGCCCTGTTGCCCCATACCCCATTTGGCCCTATAGCCCTGTAGCCTTATAGCCGTATGTCCGTATAGCCTTATAGCCTATGGACCTATAGCCCTATAGCCCCATAGCCCTGTATACTCATAGCCTTTATGGCCCTATAGCCCTATAGCCCTATAGCCCTATAGCCCCAGAGCCACATAGCCCAATAGCCCTATAGCCCTACAGGCCTATGGCCCTATGGCCCTATGGCCCTATAGCCCTATAGCCCAATAGCCCCACAGAACGGTAGCCCTATGGCCTAGCCCTATAACCCCATAGCCCTGTAGCCCAATAGCCCAATCGCCATATAGCCCAATAGCCCCATAGCCCTATAGCCCTAAAAAACATTGATTGGGGCTTTTCTCCGGTTTCACTCTTATGGTTAACGTACCAGAAACCGCGTCTCGGAACGGTTCAGGATTTGCAGGGCGCAATATTTACGCTGATTCGATGTGTTGAAATCCCAGGAACGGTGTTCGGGCACGACTCAGGATCGCCAAAACGTAGCTGTCAGGTTAACTCGTGGCGTTGAAGACCTGAGAACGGTGTTCCGTCACGCGTTCAGATATTCACATGGTTGTCCCCCAACGGGGCAATTTCCTCTGTGAAAATTACCCCGTGCAGGGGCCTATGAAGAGGGATCTTGGAGGGAGGGTGGATTCCATCATCGTTGATGAATATTGGGTTTACACTGGTCCCCCTCATTCTCCTCGTCGTCGTCATCTGAATCATCATCAGTAGATTCCACCACCTTGGAGGCGCGGCCAAGGGGTCTGAGCTGGATGGGCCTGGAAAAACTCTGTCAAGTCAGAAAGGCGCAAAAAGGGGCGAATCCGCTCAAAGTCGGTCCCCAGACCACTCCTGGGGTCCATATGGTGCAGATCCCGTTTCGACAATCCAAAAGAAGGCCCGAAAACAGCCCCTGGGGGGCGAAAACATAAATAATGCCTTCTGATATACATATACATACTAGAAGAACCATCGCGCGCGCTTCGCGCGCACTCAGGTTCTAGCAGGCCCCAGGCCTTGACGAATTGACTGCTCCACTGAAGTAGTGGACCACAGTCCACGCATACCAATCTGCATTCCGAAAGGCCTTCGAGGAAAATTGTTGTGTAGGGGGCGGAGGCCGTATGAATCCGGTTCCCAGAAGGCCTTCTGGGAGCATGGGTTTGGGGCGTCTTGGGGAGCCTGTGGGGCGTGCCGTCGTCGTCGTCGTCGTGTTGCTACGACCCATTCCCGAACCTGACCTTGGGGGTGGCCTAACCTGGCGCAGCCCCGATTGGCAACAGACCCGGCACGTCCCGTCCAAACTGAACGCCAGGTTCGCACTCGCCCAGCACGAAGGGACGGCAGCTGCGGTCGCCAGTTGTCTCGCGCCGAGTCCGTACGTTTTACTACGGTGACGGGCTGATTTTTGCCTCTTGAAGGCCCTCTTTGCAATTCACAGCCCAGAGCCTGCCTCTTCAGAGCCTACTTACGACAGATGGCCCCTAGAGGCCGAGCGTGATATATATATATATATATATATATATGTGCTTCAGGCTCCAAGGGAGCCTCCTGTACGTTAGCCAAGCGTTTCCCGGCGAATCGGGCCTCCCAAGACTCCAGGTTTCAACAAGCCTTGCTCAGTAGGCCCTCCGTTTCCCTAGCAACAAGTTGCAACATATATTATAAACAGAACAGGTTCATCCGAAACCGTTCTGGCTCAAGACCTTGCAGCGTCTCAGCGACGCTGGATTTCTGGTGTGCGTCCAAGAGACGCAGAGCAGCGAACTGCCCGCTAACAAACAGATCCTGTTCCCCACCATAGTGTGATCAGCATCGCACAGCCACTGCCCCATCATAGACGACCAGTTTTGAGACGAGCCCAACATCCCCTACAGTGATTTCAACAGATTGTCAGAAGAGAGAAGAGAGTAGCATCTATCAGGATTGCTATCAGGGCAGTGGTCAGAAGCGGGATCATTGCATGGTACCGGAGCTATCAAGCTCCACGGCCGACGGATTCACGGACATCAGTTTCATCGTGTGAGCCATGACTAAGAACAACGGCACCGATGACATTATACCTAAGTGGAATGGAGATCTCACCACGGTGGACGATTATGAGAGAAACGTCAAGGCCTACATCCAAGGGACGAGGCGAGATGAGAGATATGTGTGCGGCCCACGTCTGTGGAGATGACTAGAAGGTCGAGCCCGACAAGCAGCCAAGGACGTGGACTGGGACCGCACCGAGAAAGATGATGGAGCTGCAGAGCTACTACGACATGTTCGAGCGAAGCTCGGAGCTCAGCCCATCCAGGATGCAGGCAAGTATCTAGCGAGATGGATATTCGACTTACGCCGAGATACAGGAGAGCCGATGCCGAGTCATATCAGCAGAGACGACGAGGCCTACCACGACGTTGTGAAAGGGTTTGACACCGAGTATGTCAAGAAGCAGCGTACGGCCCGACTCTCCGAGAGATCCAAATTGTGGAACACCCTCTACAGTGAGTTGAAGTGGTTCCTTTACAAGATCGAGCATGAGGGCCCAGAAGATGCTGCAGAAGTAGCGAAGGATCTCAACTGGCGTCTCTGGAGTTTTGTCAGCAACGGCCTAGAGGAGATACCCGAGCATCCAGATTTCGGTACCGACTTCAATCAGGCGATTCCTCTGGACCAACTGCGTGGATGGCTACTGCTGCAGAGATCAAGATTGTCCCCGACCGAGCGTGCAGCAGTGATCAGCGCAGTCAAAGGCAACTTCGACTACGACAGCATCGGAGAGCAGTTGCGAGTATCTTGGCCCGACGATGAGTTGACGAATCGCGACAAGAAGCAAGGCAAGGACAACCATCGTCATCGAGGGCGAGGTCGAACCCACGCCGACTGGGAGGAGAACAGCGAGGACGACGACGACTACAGCTACTACGACGGAGAGCAGTCGGAGGTCTCCTACGAGGATGGCGACGGCGACGAGGACGAGGGAGATCCCGAGGAGCCGCTCTACAGCGCCCAGGAGATCGAGGACGCCGAGACCGCGTTCGCCGCCCAGCAGCGCAGCTTCGAGGAAGCCAGAAACCTCCTTCGACGAGTCAAGACAGCAAGGAAGTTCTACCCCGTGGATGAGAATAAGAAGCGAGCAGGTCGCGGAGGACAGCGCAAGTTTCAAGGGCCCCGGGCTGGATCCAGAGGCTCTGGATCGTCGAGTAATGGACGAGGCCGAGGGAGCGGACAGCGACGTGACGGACCTCCTCGACGAGATGGAGATCGCTCCCAGGGTCGGCTGCCCCGAAGGGCCATGTCTGAAGTGCGGAGGCAATCACGAGACGAAGGATCATCGAGATCGCGTTTCATCGGCCGGCAGCAAAGGAGATCGTGAACGCCCAAAGCGAGGTTTTGGAGCTTTCGTCTTCTTCGGCGCCGAGCAGGATGCCGAGATGGAGGCCAACCTCATTACGAACGAGACGACCCGCATCGAGCTGGAGACTGCGATGCTTCACAAGCCGGTGATCAAGAACAAGCCGAAGCAGGAGAAGCGGCAGCTCGACAAGACCCAGTATCTTCAGGTGGAGAAGTCCATCGAGATGCGGGAGCGAGTTCAACACGTCAAGCTGCCGAGCTGGCCTACACTGGAGAAGCTCGACGACTGGATCTTCATGAGTGTGAAGCAGAGCTCCTCCAAGGGTTTCGGAATCCTGGACATCGGCGCAACCTCAAGTATCATGGGCATAGAGGCCGCCGAGAACCTACGCGACATCATTTACGAGCAGACGGGCCAGAACATCAAGATGGACGTTAGCCAAAAGAGTACGTTTATCTTTGGCGACGGCAACTACAAGACCTGCACCGGCAAGGCTACCTTTCCTCTCAAGATTGCTGGTGTGGACGGCGAGCTCGAGATTAACATCCTCGACGCAGATGCCCCGCTCTTGATCGGAGTGGATGTTCTGAGCCGCCTGGGAGCTGTGATCGACTGCGAGGCACATTCTGTTTACTTCAAGAAGCTCGGACGTCGAGCTGAACTGCTCGTCCTTCCGAGCGGTCACCTTGCACTGCCACTGGTTCAACAAGCCGATTTTGGCTTCGTGGCATCCCTCGAGTAGGGGCTCACGCCCTCGACACCCGAGACTGCTACGGTGCCGGAGGGAAAACATGAAAATGAGCAGCCGATCGGAAGCAAGATTGACGAACCACCTGCATCTGTGCCCCATAAGGTCCCCGACGAGGTCCCAGATCTTGGAGCCCTGCAGGCCTCAAGCACCTCATCAGCACTTACGAGCACGGGGACATCATCACTACCTACGCCTACGGGGACACCATCATCCTTTACGCTTACAGGGAGATCACCATCACCTACGCCTCCGGGGACATCATCAATAAAAACGTCTGGGACATCATCTGTATCAGCCCCTACGGCCTCAGCTATGACATCATCAGGGTCACCCTCAGAGGCTTTCCCAAAGATCCCCGAGTTCCCAGCGCTCCAAACGGAAACGCCACCGTTCTCCAGAGCCATTTGGGCTGCGAACGATCCGAGCTCAGAGCTCCGATTTCGGCAACCAGATTGCCTTCCATATTCGCATGAGCCTCAACCGCGAGACGACATGCCGCAAAGCAGAGAGCCAGCAAGTGAAGCTGGAGAACGAGAAGATGGACGGCCCCTTGGAGCAGGTGGACGTTCGGGTGCCTCTGGAGGACTCGGGAGCATCGGCGACGTGCCGCTCACCGACGTCGACGAGGCCTACGCTACAACGGATATTGCCGCAGGGGCGACTGATCGCTCACCAGGACACGAAGGGCAACATCTTCTACACGGTCGAGGGCTCGGAGCTGGACCACAGCAAGAAGCGGATGACGGACATCTTCCTACTGGAGCACCTGCCGAATTGGGAGACGTGGTCCAGCAAGCTCCTCCGGCAGTGGACACAGTGCCGCCGCTGGGGGCGGGTCACCCAGAAGGTCTTTCTCAAGACGATCGACCACGTGAACTGGAAGCTGGACAGTCTCGGCCTACCTGTGCAGCTGCTACCAGAGAAGTACCCGACCTGGCCGACGGACCTCGAGCACCGGGCGAAGATCGAGCAGTGTCCGCCGAGCACGAAGGCGAAGCAACGCCCCCAGAAGTCGACAGCCGCGGCCGCGCGCGAGCAGAATCAAGAGCTGCGGGCCACCATCGAGACCGCAAAGTCCGATTTCTTGACCAAGTTTGCGGAGGTGAGTGCGTTTGCAGCGCTGAGCTCAGAGCAGATCTACGAGCAGCTCAGCATGGTCACGCTGGGCAACCACCTCAGGCCCCTGTGCAAGATGTGGGGGTTGACCCAGTCGGGCAAGAAGGAGGAGGTGATCGACAAGATCATAGCGTACATCATCGAGCAGCGCGGCTCGGCGGCAGCGACGATCAAGATCAAGGTGGAGACCGAGACGAAGAAGACGGAGAAGGCGCCTACGACCGTGGGCCCGGCGATTCCAGCTCACTACACGCAGATGTGCCAGCACCCGGACTGCAAGCTATGCCGAGGCATCGCGAAGAACGAGCCGATCGTGAAGGTGAAGCCCTACGGGTGGTGCCACCAGGCATGCGCTGCCAGGACGAGGGCCTGAGTGAGGTTCAGGCCGAGAGGTCGCGCTGGCACAGCGACGAGAGCCGGCCGCTGAAAGGTCATCAGCGTCAGGCGATCCGTGCAGCTACTCACATGACGAGATCGGCCATCTTCGGAGCTATGTGCGCCCTCACGACCTTCGGCCGCCTGACGATGGTCGAAGCGTGCACCCACGAGGACTCGAACCTCGGTAAGGTGTGCGACGAGAAGGGCTAGCACTACGAGCGTCTCGGCCTGTTCAACGAGAACGACCTCAGCAAGCCGCAGGGTTACCACAAGGCGAAGTTCTTGCTGGACGAGAAGCGCCCGGAGCTCTTCGTCAGCACTCCACCCTGCGGGCCCTGGTCGATAATGCAGAACGTCAACCAGCGCGATGACAGGCAGAGGGCGAACCTTCGCAGGAAGCGCCTCAAGAGCCAGCGGATCTTCGAGAACAACAAGAGGCTCATAGAGCACCAGGTGCTCAACCTGAACGGCTCGGCCCTCGCCGAGCAGCCACACAACAGTCGGTCGTGGCAAAAGACCTGCTGGAAGGACCTCCACAAGACACTCCCCTACGAGGTGATCGTGGACGGCTGCGCCTGCGGACTAAGAGCTCCCGACACAGGCGAGCTCATGAAGAAGCGCTGGAAGTTTCTGACGAACGACAAGAGGATCTGGGTGGCCCTACAGCCGCTACAATGCCGTGGAGGACACTACCACGAGGAGATTGAGAGCAGCCTGAGGACTGAGGCTTCGGGCTACTACCCCAAGATGCTGTGCCGCCGGATCCTCCGGGCTCTGACTAAGAGCCAGAACCAGAACTACTTCGAGGACGAGGTTGTGAAGTGCCTCTGCACGGCAGCTACCCAGCAGCCACCGACGGAGCCTACGCCTGTGGAGGACGAGCCGTCGATTCCACCTCAAGACGGCAAGGAGACCCACGACCTCACCAAAGAGACGATCAAGAAGATCGAGAGCTATATTAGGCTGGTGCACACCAACCTTGGACATCTACCTCGAGCTCATCTACTACGATACCTTCGTGACCGTGGTGCTCGCCCGGAGGTGCTACGATTGGCCAGGACATTCAAGTGCGACATCTGTGACGCGCACCGTCCACCGACGAAGCGGCCGCCAGCCTCATCAGCAGAGCAGCCGCAGAACGGTCACGAGGTTCTCTTCGACGCCTTCTCATGGATCCGTCGCAGCAAGAAGACAAACGTGATGGCGCTGGCAATCCTCGACGCCGGCTCAGACATCCTCTACGTGCGACTGATCGACGAGAAAGAGATCCCAGGTACGACCCGACAAGTTCGTGCCGGTGACCTTCGACATATCTTTGCGACAGAGTGGTTTCCCTGGATGGGACGTCCGAAGGTCATGCGCTACGACCCCGCTGGCAGCGCCATCTCTAACGAGTTCCGCGAGTGGATCGAGAGCAAGGAGTCTACTGTCTTCCATGCGCGGCCGACGCCCACTGGCAGATCGGCAAGATTGAGCGCGCGATCGAAGCCTTTAAGGAGGCCCTCGACGCTTTTGACGAGATGGTCTCAGCTGAAGTACCTACCAGCGAGATGATTGGACTCCAGACAGCTGCCAGGAACGACCTGATCAGGATCGACGGGTTCAGCCCACTGCAGCGCTATGCGGGACGGACCCCGACGGGGACCACGGTTAACCTGTCCGACGAGCCGAACAACCTGCCCCTCATCAGCGCCGAGCTGCAGGATGGCACCTTCAGCAGGGACGCCCAAGTTCGACGAATGGCGCGGCTGGCTCACATCCAGACCGAGAACTCCGACCGAGTCAAACGGGCGGAGGCCGCGCGCTTCAGGTCCTTCAAGAGGTACGAGACGGGCGACCTGGTCTTCGTCTACAGAAGGCTCCCACCAGGAGCCTGGATCAAGAAGGGCCAACCTCGCTCCATGCTTGGGCGAGGCCGCTGGTACGGACCTGGACGAGCACTCTGCCACGAGCCATCGAGCTCGGGACATCGACCTGGTCTACCTGGGACAGTGGTCAACATCACACTGGCTGGACGCCTCTATCGAGTTGCCCCAGAACAGCTTCGACCTGCTACGCCCTCCGAAGAGGCGATGGACTCTCTACGCTCGCGTCGCGAGCAGCCGGGGACGTGGACTTTCGGCGACGTCCAGAAGCTGCTCGACCAGAACGAGGTGATCGACCTTTCGAACGAGTCCCCGCCTACTGGCGAGGACCTTGCCGCTGACGACGGCGAGTCTGTCAGCGCTCGCACCTTCGAGGGCAACGCGAGCGGACCCTGGGCCATTCCTGAGGACGAGGAGCTACCCGTGCCACGAGGAGATCCTCGGAGCTTGGGCCCAGGAGGAGGAGGCGGCGGCGGAGGTGGTGGAGCCATCGAGGCACCCCCAGGACTGGAAGAGCGACCTCTTCCTGGACCGCGACCTCCAAGGCGCCTTCGGAAGAAGGGCAATCCCTGGACCGAGGCGGCCGAGGTCCAAGACCCTCTCATACAGCCAGTACAGCCAGAAGCACCACCAGGCATTCCACAAGAGGGAGGCCACGAAGCTGGACACCAAGAGGAAGCCGAGCTACCTGCAGAAGAGGAGATCGTCATGGAGGCCCCTCCCGACGACGACCAAGCAGAGCGCATGTCTCAGCAGCCCATTGCGGTGGACACGGACGACGACCTCGACGAGACTACGGCGCCCGACGTGAACGACAAGCGCCGGCTGCGGTCGCCTGGCTCAACCGAGCCACCTGCCAAGAAGCAGCGGATCAACGTCGCGACCCAGGAGGCCTTCTCCTACTACCTGCAGGAGGGTAACTTCTACGGGGACTACGCCTACAGCGTCCAGCAGTACGACGAGACGAAGGAGGACGACGAGCTCATCGTGCTGGACATCCCCGTCAGCAACGAGCACGCGTTCATGGCCTACATGGACGATCCCAGCAACTTCGTGGCATCACAGGCCCGGAAGGGCCGAGTGGAGGTCTCCTTCAAGAAGGCGACGCCTGAGGAAAAGAAGCTGCTACTTGAGGCCCAGCAGAAGGAGTGCACCTCCGTCCGCAGCACGAAGGCTGTCAGGATCCTCAGCCGCAAGGGGATCGACCCGGCGCGCCTGCTGCGCTGCCGCTTCGTGCTGACCTGGAAGAAGGACGAGCAGGGCAACGTGCTCCGAGGCAAGGCCAGATTGGTCGTGCTTGGCTTCAGCGACCCCGATCTACTACACCTACGGACAGAATCACCAGTTGCCTCAAGACATGCACGACAACTTCTACTGGCCATGGCAGCAAGACACAAGTGGAAGCTGGAGAAGGCAGACGCAGTGACAGCCTTCCTCCAGGGCGAGACTGACGAGGAGAAGAGGAAGATCTACGCCGACCCGCCGAAAAATGTTCGTCAGGCATTCGGCATGAAAGATGACGATGTACTACAGTTCCTCAAGCCTATGTACGGGTTCGTAGATGCTCCTCGCAAATGGTGGCTCCATTTCAAGGACACGCTCATGACGCTGAAGCTGGAGATCGTGCAGTGCGAGCCTTGCGTCTGGGTCATCCGAGACGGCAACAAGATGGTTGGCATGGTCATCCTGCACGTCGACGATATGATGATTGCCGGCGATCACAACAACTCGGCCTTTCGCAAGAAGCGTCAGGAGATTCAACAAGCTTTCGAATGGACACCCTGGGAGAGCCGAGCGTTCGTGCAGTGCGGCATCAGCATTCGACAGAACGAGGACTACACCTGCAGCCTCGCACAGGACAGCTACAGCCTGAACGTGGAGCCCATCAAGATGCGACGTGGGAGGAAACCCACAGAAGGAGTTTCAGACAAGGAGAGATCAGACCTACGAGGCCGACTTGATACAGTCGGATGGCGAGCTCAGCAGTCGGCCCCGTGGCTCAGCGCAGAAGTCTCTCTACTTCAAGCGGAGATACCTACGGCCACGCTCTCAACCATCCAGAAGATCAACAAGCTTATCCGCACCATGAATGACACCGCCGACGTGGTCATGCTCATCCCGGCCATTGAGCAGATTGCCGTGGTTGGCTGGGGCGATGCAGCCTGGGCCGCCCGCATCACCGGCGAGTCCCAAGGCGGAGAAATCGTTGTTCTGGCCCCCCTGTCCTTCCTGAGTGGCTCGACAGAGACAGTTGCGCCTATCTCTTGGAGATCATGCAAGCTACCCAGAGTGGCCAGAAGCAGTACGAGTGCGGAGGTCCAGATGATGACTGAGACCCTGGACGAGATCAGTTACGTGCGACTATTTATCTACGAGCTGGAGTGCGGTCAAAGGGACTACACCAACAAGCAGCACGTGAACGACGCCATCTCATCCTGCCCTGGCGTACTTGTCACAGACGGTAAGTCGGGCTACGACGCGATCGAGAAGAGTGAGTCAGCTGGTCTCGGACTACGTGACAAGCGGACGAGCATCGAGTGCCTGGGCATTCGACAGCAGAAGGAGCAGACGGCCCTCCAGATACGCTGGGTACACAGCGACGCCATGTTAGCCGACGGGTTGACCAAGGATCGTGCAGCCAAGGTCTTGCTGGAGTTCTTCAGATCAGGCCAACGCTGTAGACTCGTGGACGACCCCCTTCACCGCAGTGCCAGGAAGCGCAAGACCGAGGGTATGGACAAGCCCGACCATGGCAAGCCGATATCGGACGATTACGAGAACGCCATGCTGGAGGCCCTGATCTACTACGCCCGCGACAACCCCGACGAGCAGGAGAGCCCTGCTGGAGATGCAGCCCTGTGCGGCATGATTAAGCCGCTCACGCGCTGTGCTTTCTGTGAATTCAGTTGCCAGAGGCAGGTCTCGATGCCGTAACATCGATCTTTAGCTTTTGGGCATGCAATTCACAGCCCAGAGCCTGCCTCTTCAGAGCCTACTTACGACAGATGGCCCCTAGAGGCCGAGCGTGATATATATATATATATATGCTTCAGGCTCCAAAGGAGCCTCGTGTATGTTAGCCAAGCGTTTCCCGGCGAATCGGGCCTCCCAAGACTCCAGGTTTCAGCAAGCCTTGCTCAGTAGGCCCTCCGTTTCCCTAGCAACAAGTTGCAACATAGATTATAAACAGAACAGGTTCAACCGAAACCGTTCTGGCTCAAGACCTTGCAGCGTCTCAGCGACGCTGGATTTCTGGTGTGCGTCCAAGAGACGCAGAGCAGCGAACTGCCCGCTAACAAACAGATCCTGTTCCCCACCATAGTGTGATCAGCATCGCACAGCCATAGACGACCAGTTTTGAGACGAGCCCAACATCCCCTACAGTGATTTCAACATTTTGTCAGAAGAGAGAAGAGAGTAGCATCTATCAGGATTGCTATCAGGGCAGTGGTCAGAAGCGGGACCATTGCACTCTTGGGGCCCCCTTCGGCCATCTTGAAGCCATCGCGGGCCCTCTTGGGCCTCGCTGAGGCTGTCTTGGGGCCCTCTAGGGCGTCCTCGGAACCCGGAAGTCATGTTCCCGGAGAGGCTTCAGGGAACATGATTTCGAACGGGGCCCTCTTGGGCCTCCCTGAGGCCGTCTGGTTGGGCCTCCTGGGCCGGCTTCGGGGCCTCTTGGGCCGTCTCGGGGGGTTCGGTGAGCCCCACAGGCCAACCCTTTTGGGCCGTTTTGGGGCATCTTGCGGCCTCTTTGGGGTCTCTGATGGGGGCATTTTTAAACCTCTTGGGGCCTCTTAGGGACCTCTTGGGGGCCTATTGGGGCGGAAATCTCCATTGTCGGTTCGTGTTCCCGGCCTTTGGCACCTCTTGGGGCCGTCTTGAAGCCCTCTTGGGCCGTCTTGGGCGCCTCTTGGACCGTTTGGGCGCCCTCTTGGGCTGTCTTGGGGGCCTCTCGGGGGCCTTTTGGGCCGTCTTGGGGCGATGTTCGAGGCTTCCTCGGCAATCTTGGAGGTCAGAAGCCCGAAAACGCGGGCAAGCAAAAAACATTGAAAAACACAATGAAAATCTATGATTTTAGCCTCTTGGGGCTCTCTTGGAAAGCCTCTCGGAGCGCCCCTGGGGCTTCTTGGGGGCCCCTTGGGCCGTGATGGGGCTATCTTAAGAGTCTTGGAGCGCTCTTGGGCCGTCTTGGCGGCTTCTTGCCGTCCCTGGAAGCCGTGGTGGACGCCTTCGGGGGCGCAAAAGAGCCTCCGGACGCCCGGGGGCAAAGTGGGTTACGGGGGAGGGGGGGGGAATTCGGGAGGGTGTCCCGGCCTGGGGCCCAGGCCCCCAGTACCCCGGTATATGACATATATATATATATATATATATATATATATATATATATAGAACCATCGCGCGCGTTTCGCGCGCGCTCTGGTTATCCAGAATCCCAGCAGGCAGTGAGATGCCGAGGGCCAGGCGACGGTTTCGGATATGAGTTCAGCCCGAATGCGCTGCGGAAGCACGTAGTGAAGAGCCCTTCCCTGAGCACGGGGGACTACAGGAGGAAGACGAAAAGAACGAGGGGGGCGGTTTGGAGGTCGAGAAAAGGGAGAAGAGTCCCGGAGCATGACGGCGGCGAAAACGAGGACAGAACGGGAAGGAGGGGCAGGAGCAGAAGGAGAAGTGGAGTCCTTGAAGACGAACAGTAGGAGGAATACACAAAAAGGAGGGACATCCGTGCCCCTCGTCCACGTGTGCCCCTCCTGGTGGCCTTATGCACATCGTGCCACCGAGCCTGGATTGTTGGTGTGAGACTTCGTGAATGCCTGTTCGCGTCTCTGGGAAGACCTCTGGGCAGCCTGTCGGAAACAATGGCGAAGCCTCTTGCGACGCTTTTCGGGGCCTCTTCGGAGCCTCTTGTGGCCCTCTTGGGTCCTCTCGGGGGGGTGGTCCTTGGGGGCCTGCTGGCGACCTTCGGGGTCCTCTTGGGGCCGAGGCCTCGAAATATGGGTTCGCATTATTCCCCCCCCCAACGAGCCCCTCTTGGGGCCTTTTTGGGCGGTCCTGGGTGCCTCTTGGGCCGTCTTGGAGCCCCCTTGGGCCGTCTCAGGGCCCTCTGGGGGACCTCTTCGGCCGTTGGAGGACACTCCTAGGGGCCTCTGGGCCCGTCTTGGACACTGGACTGCGATTGACATGTACGATTTCCCAAGGGAACGGGGCGATCTTGCCGGTCCTCTTGGAGCCGTCTTGGGGCATCCTAGGGTCCTGCTGGCGATCGTCGGGGTCCTCTCAAGGCGGAGGCCTCGAAATGTGGGTTCGAATTTCCCCTGCGGGGCCCCTGTTGGCGCTCGCTTCGGCCGCCTTGGGAGGTCCTGGGTGTCTCTTGGGCCGTCTCTTTCCCCCCCACGACGCAGGTGTCCATGGTAGACGCGCGAAGACCAAACCATCATTCCTGTACACTGTAAACGGCTGGCCCCCATGGTTTCCTGCCACTTTTACATTTAATAGACTAAAGTCAATCATGTGATCGAAATCGCCACCGTTGAAGTCTACAACGGAATGAAAGGCGAACCCATCTCTCGCTGCGAATTTGTACTGCGTGGGTCCCGCTTGGCACGTCATGGGGAGCTGAGCCCGTCTTGGGGCCCTCTCCGACCATGTTGGGATCCTCCAGTGGCCCCCTCGGGCCCCCTGGGGACTCTCTTGGGCCGTCTTGGAGCTCTCTTGTGCTGCTTGAAGCTCTCTTCAGGCCATCTTGGGGCCCTCTTGGGGGCCTCTTGGGCCGTCTGGGGCCGATTTGGGGAGACTTTGGGGCCGTCGTGGCCGCTGTTAGGGCTGAGAAACCGAATTTCCCGGAAATATGCGATTTTCTACCGGAAATGCTTGATTTTTGCCCTTTGGGCCTTCTCCGCGGCCTCTTGGACCGTCTTGAAAAAATTAGGTTGGACCTGTTTGGGCCCGTCTGGGGACCCATTTCGGCCGTCCTGGGTCCCTCTTGGTCCGTCATGGGGAGCTGAGCCCGTCTTGGGGCCCTCTGGGGGCCCCCTCCGACCATGTAGGATCCTGCAGTGGCGCCCTCGGGCCCCCTGGGGACTCTCTTGGGCCGTCTTGGAGCTCTCTTGTGCTGCTTGAAGCTGTCTTCAAGCCGTCTTGGGGCCCTCTTGGGGGCCTCTTGGGCCGCCTGGGGCCGATTTGGGGAGCCTTTGGGGCCGTCGTGGCCGCTGTCGGGACTGAAAGAGCGGACATCCCAAGAAATGCGCATGTCCATCGGAAATGCTCAATTTTTGCCCTTGGGGGGGCCTTCTCGGCGGCCTCTTGGACCGTCCTGAGGGAATCCTTTTGGGTCTTCTTGGCCCTGTCTGGGAGCACATTTCGGCCGTCCCAGTTCCCTCTTGGCCCGTCATGGGGAACTGAGCCCGTCTTGGGGCCCTCTTGGGCCCCTCCGACCATGTGGGGATCCTCTGGTGGCCCCCTCGGGCCCCCTGGGGACTCTCTTCGGGCTGTCTTGGGGCTCTCTTGTGCTGCTTGAAGCTCTCGTCAGGCAGTCTTGGGGCCCTCTTGGTGGCCTCTTGGGCCGTCTGGGGTCGATTTGGGGGCCCTTTGGGGCCATCGTGACCGCTGTTAGGACTGAAGAAAATATACCAGAAATATACGCTGTTCCATGGGAAATGCTTGATGTTTGCCCTTGCGGGCCTTCTCGGCGGCCTCTTGGACCGTCTCGAGGGCCTTTGTGGTCGTGTAAAGAGCAATACTTATGTGTATTCGAGCGCTCGTGGGCCGTCTTGAGGCCATCTCAGTGCGCTCTTCAGCCATCTTCCAGAAAACCTGGGGCGCTTTGGGAGCCTCTTGGACCAGCTTGGGGACCTCCGGGGGGGTCCGGGGCCCCTTCTGGGCCATCTTGGAGCCCTCAAGGCCCCCCCCCCCCAGACCGCCATGCCTCGAACCTCCCCTCCCCCTCCCCCCCAAGACAGAATGCTGGGCCACCTCAGACCCCCAGCCGGCTCCAACCCTGACCTGGGAGGGGCGAACGGGCCAGCAGCCCCGCGAGCCCACCGAGCCAGCAGTGGGAGGGCAGGGGGCGCGCCACGTGGCCTTGATCTTCGGGTTCTTGGCCGCGGCGGTGGCCAGCGCCGCGGGGTTGAACCCGCTGCCGAACATGCCGCCGCCGCCGCCGCCGCCGCCGCCTGGGCGCGCCGACACGGCGAGGCGGCCCGCGCTAGCCCCGGGCGTCGCACCAAGTGGCCCGCTCGGGGCCCCAGGGGGCCACGGGCAAGACATGCGCGGTGACGCAAGACAGCCTGCGCAGGGAAGGGGATCCAGGGCCTGGAGGGGCCACGCCGCCAGAAACCGCGGCGTCGCAGCACGGGCTGGGGGCCTCCCAAGCGGCGCCCTGGAGAGAGCAAGGGGGAGGAATGAGATGCAGAAGCACGCCGTGCGTCAGAGGCCCCCAAGAGGCTCGCGAGAGGCCCAAAAGTTCCTCCCCAGAGGCCCCCGAGAGCCTTCCGAAGAGACCCCAAGAAGTATCACTGAGGACTCTGGCCCACGTCAGCGTCGCCGTCATCGCCGCCGCCGTGGTCGTCGTCGTCGTCGTCGTCGTCGTCGTCGTCGCCGTCGTCGTCGTCGTCGTCGTCGCTGTCGGCGGCACCGGCCGCAAGGCCTTCGCAATAAGAAGCAAAAGCACGCCGTGCGTCCAGCCACAGGTTGCAAATCAGCGGCGGCAGCGAACGGCGGGTGTTTTCGGCCCCACCTCACCTCCCAATGGTGCAGCGTTCTGCGCGGGGTGTAAAACTCGAAAGCGCTCGAAGATGGGCCACGCGGGCAGGCCCCTGCCTGACAGGGCGAGAACGAGGAGTGCCGCTCAGACTGATGCCTCGTGCTTCTGCTTTGTATCGCTTCCTCGCCGCGGGCTGGATCCATGCAGGATAAGGATGCGCTCATGAGAGGGAGGGTGCCAGGATGGGAGTGAATGACGAGCATTCATTGGGGGGACACTCGACGGGATCGGCGGGGAGCTGCATTCCACGTTGCGAACGCACACAGGGCTAAGAATCCAACAGCAAGCCTGAACAAGCGCTCGACTTACCCAGTCGAGAAAGTACTGCGGTGCAGACCAACGCGAAACGCTCCACTCGGGTAGGTCTGCGCCAGATGTATGAAGCGGCAAAGAGAAAGTGAACGGGCTCCTACGCTCATGAGGAGAATGACACAATGGTGGCGGAAGAACGAGACGAAGGCCGATCGTGGGATGAACAGGAGTGGGGAAGGAGGAGAATGCAGTGAGAGGAAACTGGCACCATTTTCAGGAAGCCACGGGCCCAGCAACAGTGGCGAAGGGAGCTGCCATCACTTGCTCTCGCCAAGCACCACTGCACGCAGGTCCGCCACAGAGTCCACCACTTCCTCGGGCAGACCCCCCGAAGAGAAACGACACGTAGGAAGGGTTACAGAAGGCTCGCGTCACGATGACGCGAGAGTTGGTTTCCCACACTTCGTGGATGATGCCAGCCTTGAGCGGTCGCGCGACCTTCCGACAGCGCTGATCGTTCGACGTCGGCGGATTCCAGGCTTCGGTGGCAACTCATGGGAGCTTCCCATGCTATATTGCTGGCTCTTGCGAATCGACGCTGACCGACACTAATCGATGCGAATCGACGCCGATCGACGCTAAATCGACGCCAAGGCCTAGGCAATCCAAGACCAGGGCCTCCTCCACAAGAAGCGAGGGCCACGGCGGAGTGGGCAGCCGCCCGCCTTGGCCCCCCCTGGTCGGCTCCTCGAACTCCTCCGCGAGCAGCCGGCGGTCGTGCGAGCCCCAGGCCACGCCGACGCTCCGCATGCCCGCGGCTCGGGCCGCCTGTTGGAGGCGCGCAGATGGTAGGGGGAGGGGGGGAGGCTTCTTAGAAGCAGCGTCTTTCTAAGAAGCCTTCCCCCCTTCCCCTACCCCCTTGTACACGCCGCCAAGCCTGCCCGTCCGTGGGGGCGTCGCCGACGTAGACGCAGTCGGCAGGGTCCAGTCCCATGGCCTGTGCAGTGGTCGCTGCTTTCGCTGTTTTCGCTGCTGCCGTTGTGTCGCTGTGAACCGTGCACTGTGCACGCTGAGGCGTATCGGAATACCAAGTGCTGCCTGGCAGGGATCGATGTGATCATTGCCATCGTTGTTATCGTTGTTATCGTTGTCATCGCTGTTATCGTTGTTATCGCTATCGTTTCCGCAGTCAGCGGGGTCCAGTCTCATGGCCTGTGCTGTGATCGTTGTTTCCGTTGTCACCGTTGCTGTCGCTGCTGTCGTTGCTACAGTCAACCCGTATAAGAAGGGCACAAGATAAGGATGAAAGGACCTTGGAAGGCCATGTCGGCACCTCGCGAGCGGGGCGCGGCCAGCGAAAGCGGCCAAGGATGGGCCGAAGGGGAAGGATGCAAGGGGAACCGTGGAGAGTTCCTCATCCTTTCTATGCGGGTTGACTGTATCCGTCACCGTGCCTTGTGCACGTTGAGGCGAGGTAGAATGCCAAGTGCTGTCTGGCAGGGCGTCACCCTGTCGAATATGTTTGGGATAGTTAAGAACTCCCCCTAAGGTTTCGGTTGAGCGCGCTGGGGTGCGTGTCTCGCCAGTCTTGCCGCTCAAGATGGCCCCAAGATGGCCTCCTTGACGGCCAAGATGCCTCCAAGACTGCCAAAATGGCTCCAAGAGAGCCCAAGATGGCCCCAAGATGCACCCAAGACGACCCAAGATGGTCCAAGAGAGCCCAAGACGGCCCAAGAACCGCCCAAGAGGCCCCTCAGACAGCCCAAGAGGTCTCCAAGAGGTTCTCCAGGAAGGCCCGAACAGGTCAAAATCATGGACTGTCCTTAAATATTTGAAGGATTTGGAAGTTTGCTTCAAAACGGCCTCCCGACGGCCTCCCGACGGCCCAAGACGGCCCAAAAAGCCCCCAAGATTGCCCCAAGATCGCCCAAGAGGCCTCTAAGATGGCCCCAAGACGGCCCAAGATGCCCCCAAGGTGGCCCCCAAAGGGCAAAGGGCCCCAAAGGACCCCACGACGGCCTAAGTGGCATCCAAGACGCCCAGGATGGCCTCCAAACTGACCCCGAAGCGTCCCAAGAGGGCCCCAAAACGGCCACAAAAGGCTCCCAAGATAGCCTCCGCCAGCGTCTGACGGGTCAGCAACGCTGTAAGATGGCCAAAGAGGTTCCCAAGAAGCCCCCGAAGGCCCCCAAGAGGTCGAAGGAGGCCCAAAAGATCCCCAAGAGGCCCAAGGAGGCCCCTAAGAGGCAGGAAGCTCCCAGGAGGCCCCAAGAATGAGCCCAGAAGCTCCCGAGAGGTCTCCTAATGTTCCTCATACTCCTTTTTCCTCCCTCTCCTCATCCTCGCCTTCCTCCCCCACGTGTTCCTCGAAGGGCTTCCACAACAGCTGGGGGAACGGATGGTCCAATAGCGTGGCCAACCTTTGCCCAAACGTTTATCCAAAGAGGCGCCTTTCGAAAAGGCACCGGGCGGCGGTGATTCGCCGTAGGCGTCTTCGATAAATGGTGAGGATATCTGAAGCGAACCGCCCGGCCCACCCTAGCAAGACGTCTAGGGGTGCTGGAGTTCTGTGTCAGGTACAGGGATGAAGGAGGAGGTGGGAGGGGAGGGGAGGGGAGGGGAGGGGGGGGAGGGGAGGGGAGGGGAGGCAAGCTGGGTGCGCTAGCGTCACATCTGACGTCCTACCCCTCCCTCCCATACCTTACCATGGATCCCAAGAGGGTACGCGATGGATAGACGAGCATGGCGTAGAAGAGCACGGCAGAGCAAAACATTTCATGGCATGGTATGGCATTGCGTAGTGAAGCATTGCATCACAAAGCATAGCAACGCAAAGCATGGTATCGCACAGCTGTGCACAACCAAGCATCGCATTGCATGCCGTGGCATGGCACCGGATGACTTGGAGGGTAAAAGGCACGTCTACGACAGGACAGGGCCTGTCCAGAATGCCGGCTCCGTGTCCTCCGCAACCGTGCCTGCCCGATGTGGGCGCTTTCGAATGCCAAGTGCCGTCCGGAGGCGCGGGAACGAGGCCAGCGCTGCAGTGGGAGCACGACTTTGAATGACCGAAGCGCGGAAATGAGGGCGGCACTGCAGCGGGAGCACCATCTTGGAAGAACCAGAAACGACCAGATTGAAAAAACACATACGTAGGAAAAAAAGTAAAGGAATCCTGCGTTAAAAAACAATACGCGGAGAGGACGGGACACTCTCTGGACAGAGTCAGGGGAGAGAGGAGAGTAGTATTCACATTATGTAATTGTGGAGGGGAGGGAAGGGGAGAGGAGGGGGGAGGGGGGAGGGGGGAGGGAGGAGGAGGCCGACGAGGAGGGGGAGGGGGGGAGGTGGGAGGACGCGGGAAGGGAAGGAGGAGGGTGGAGGGAGGAGGGAAGCGGGAAGGGAGGGAGGACGCGGGAAGGAGGAGGGGCGGTAGGGGGAGGACGCGGGAAGGAGGAGGGGGGAGGGAGGAGGGAGGCGGGGAGGGAGGGGGGGGACGCAGGAGGACGAAGGAGGACTGCGACGCGGCTTTCTCTCTCGCTCTCTCTCTCTCTCTCTCTCGTTTTTGTTTCGGGTGGCGGACCCCTTCTGCGCCGCCGGAGGGCCTCGCTGATCTGAAGGAGCCCCAGCGGCGACGGCTTGCCCGCGGGCACGTCGTCGGGCCCGAGCTGCGCCTCGAAGCGCTCCGAGAGCCCATGTGCCAAGAGCACGGCGCGCACGTACGCGGTGCACGCGTTGCTCAGCGCCCCCACGCGGCAGCCCGCCTCGCGGAGCTCATCCACGGGCAGAGGGCCAAGAAGCGGCACGAGCACACTTCGAGATGGCACGCTTCGAGACGCCCGGCAGGGAACGCTGGGAGAGGGCCTCGGCGGCCACCCAAGAGATCTGCGCGGACCTCCGAAAGCTCAGTTTCATGCCGCGTCTTGGTCCTCTCATGATCGGGTGCGCCGAAAGAGGGGAACCGCGGAGCGGGGGGGGCCAGCGCTTCATGGCGCGAGGCATGTGCGAGGAAGAGGGGGGGCCACGGGGCGGCTTGAAAGAATGAGAGAGGGCCATGAAGTCGGGGAGATGTCATTGCCCCGGCCGTGAGATCCACCCACCCCTAGTCCTCACTCCCCTCATGGACGCTCCCGAGAGGAACTCCCTCAGGCCGGGGAACATCGGGGTCGTCTCCGGGGAGACCAATGTCACATAAAGGTCGTCGAACTGTCTGCCGAGCTCAGGGCCCGCGGCGTCCCGCGGGTCACCCGAGACGTGGAAGCCGAAGCGCTCCGGGGTGACGTACCTGGTATCGGCGGCGTGCCCAGGGGGGAAGTGAGAGGAGGCAGGCCACCTCAGAAGGCGGCGGGGCTTCTCAGAAGCCCTCGCGCCTTGTGAGAAACTTTGCAAGCCTTCTCCAGAGCCACAGGCGGCCTCTCAGAAGGCGCGAGGGCTTCTGAGAAGCCCCGCCGCCTTTTGGTGAGGCCTGCCCCCTCTCACTTCCCCCTGGGATCGCCACCGATGGCACCCATCTTGTTTTTCTCACTTCGGCGGACGGCGCAAGGGAAGAGATCGCCCCGCAGGGCGTGAGGCGAGAGACAATGAAGGACAGATCAACACACATCGTAGTCAGACATGGCGACGATAAAAGGATGAATGCCTGAGGTGATCCACTGTGGCTCCAGCTACACGTCACAAGGAGAGGAGCACAGGTACCTGGTGCCCTTCTTGTAATCCGCCTCGCTGATCTCGGGGTAGCCGTTGCTCTTCAGGACGACGTTGGTGCTGTCGAAGCCCAGGCGGGTGGACTCCACCAAGGTTCCATCGAGGTCCCAAAGCACCGCCCGCGGAAGAGACTTCGGGCATGGTCGGCGGACGAGTAACGGCATGAGATCAAGTTCCGCACCGAGGGGACGCCAGTCCCAGGGCGGTCAGAACCTTCAAACAGAAACACACCCATGTCTGGCCAACTTGAGAGTAATGGGTCGGGCCGCCCTGGAACATGTTGCTCCGATCGACTGCTCGAAGTCAGCAAATACTGCTTTCAACTCCGTATTTCGTGGGGTCCAAGTGGGCGACGAAAAGAAACGGGTGGTACGCGAGATGACAGAGCGAACTCACGCCGCGGCTTACGCGGGCCGCCAGCGCGGCGCGCCACACTGGAAATGAGAGCGCTCACGCGCGACCTTGCGCGGGCAGCTTACGCGCCAACGTCGGTGAAGACGACCCCGGTGTTCTCTGCGTCGCTCGGGTGAGGCAGTGCGACGAGCACTGCAGCAGCACCTGGCGAGGCGCCGTCCGTGGCAACGGCGAGCCCAAAGTGGGCAAGCCCCAAGGGCGGCCGCCCTCCCCGCGCCGTGAAGGAGTCACGGGGTGACCAGACCACGACCTGAAGCAGCTCACGGAAGCTGCTGGTCGTCCCCGTGGCGCCCAACAGCGCGCCAAGTCGCGTGCAAAGCAGCCAGAATGCATCTCCTTCCCTTCACGTGGCGCTATCGGGCGCCATTGGCCGCTACTGGTCGCCATTTGAGCGCTCCTCGGCGCTATTGGGCGCATCTCGTCGATATGCACTCAACCCAGGGCGAGCGAAAACTTCCGTGGTTTACTATCGAACTCCTCTGCTGGATTATCTCACGCTGGATGGATCCGCGAGGGCCCCACAGCCCCAGGCCAGGGCGAAAGACACGCGTCGTAGTTTGTTTTTCGCGCGACTCCCAGATGATTTGACGCGTGGAACACAGACCTCAACCTGTCTGGACCACCCGACAGTCAAATAACCACTCGGGATGACAAAACGGTCCCAGGGAAATGATCCAGAGCTCGGGGGTCCACGTTGTGAAAAAGATGTCGGAGACCTGTTGGCGGCGAGCGAGGGGGGGAAATGAGAAGGAGAAGGCCTTCTAAGAAGCCGGCGGGACTTCTCAGAAGCCCTCGCGCCTTCTGAGAGGCTCTCTGTCTTCGGGGAAGGCTCAGAAAACTTCTCAGAAGGCCAGCGGACGTCCGAGCCTTCTGAGAAGGCCCACACCTTCTCACTTCCCCCCCTCGATCGACGCCGAAAAACAAGGAAAGCCTGAGGGACCAGAAGGTCTGACACCAGGCCCAGGGAGAGCGTGGCCACAAATAAGCCGCCGCTCCAGAAGATCCTTGGCCAGGGGAGCCCGCCGGGGGGACCAGGTACCAGGGCAAACCCCAGGCCTGCCCTCCTGTCCGGCAGGGTGGAAGCCCACGGCCGATCCTCTCAATGGCCGTGAGCTGGTTCCGACGCGTACATACTCGGGTTCTCTGAGAGCCCAACGCACACGGATTGGAGCTTCCTCACAGAACGCACGGAACCCGAACCTGGGGAGGCTTCATCTTATCACGTCTTTCGTCCGCCGACATGAGCTGGCGGTGCGCCGACGGGGGTGTGGGGCGAGGGGGACGGCCTCCGAAGAGGGCAAGGGGCCTCCCAGAAGGGATCGTAGACTTCTAAGCTTCTCGGAGGGCATGTTGGAAGGCAGGAGAGTCAAACTCCTCCTCCTCCTCCTCCTCCTCCTCCTCCTCCTCCTCCTCCTCCTCCTCCTCCTCCTCCTCCTCCTCCTCCCTCCTCCTCCCTCCTCCTCCTCCTCCTCCTCCTCCTCCTCTTCCTCCTCCTCCTTCCTCCTCCTCCTCCTCCTCCTCCGCCTCCTCCTCCTCCTCCTCCGCCTCCGCCTCCTCCTCCTCCTCCTACCTACTCCGCCTCCTCCTCTGCCTGCTCCTCCTCCTCCTCCTGCTCCTCCTCCGCCACATATTCCTCCTCCGCCTCCTCTTCCTCATTTCCTCCTCCTCCTCCTCCTCTTCCTCCTCCTCCTCCTCCTCCATCTCCTCCTCCTCCTCCTCCTCCTCCTCCTCCTCATCCTCCTGCTCTTCCTCTTCTTCTTATTATTATCATTATGTTTATCAGTCTTATTGTTAGTAGTAGTAGTAGTAGTCTTACTAGTATTACGTTTATTAACAACAGTATACTATTATATATTCAATTATTATTCGGGGTAGTGATATTAATGATCTTGGTGTTATTATTAGCAAACATTAATTTGAATTGTATCACCATTAGTAGTAGTACTAGTAATATGGTTATTAATCGTATGTTTCGTAGTATTGGTGTGTTTCTTCTTGTTCGGAGTAATATATACTATTAGTAGTATGTTAAGTATTAGTGCGGTTGACAATTCCTGGTGGTATACGTATTCGTAGTGTTCGTGTTCGTCGTATTATGATGTATTGCGATCGATTCATAATATTGATCGTTCTACTCTCATTCTTAATGGTGTTCGTAGTAGTAGCCTTCGTCGTATTAGTCTTATTAGTAGTATTCGTCGCCGTCGTACTATTATTAGTCCCCGTATGGTTATGAGTATTCGCATTCCTCTTGTTAGTAATATTAGTAGTATTGTTCTTCTGATTCGAAATATTATTATTATTCCTCCTCCTCCTCATCCTCCTCTTCCTCCTCCTCATCCTCCTCCTCCTCCTCCCCCTCCTCCTCTTCCTCCTCCTCCTCCTCCTCCTACTCCTCCTCCTCCTCCTCTTCCTCCTCCTCCTGCTCCTGCTCCTGCTCCTGCTCCTCCTCCTCCTTCTCCTCCTCCTCCTCATCCTCCTTCTCCTGCTCTTCATTCGCCTCCTCCTCCTCGTCCTCCTCCTCCTCCTCCTCCTCCTCCTCCTCCTCCTCTCCTCCTCCTCCTCTCTCTCCTCCTCCTTCCTCCTCCTCCTCCTCCTCCTCCTATCTCCTCCTCCTCCTCCTCCTCCTCCGCTCTCGCCTCCGCCTCCGCCTCCCCCCCTCCTCCGCCTCCGCCTCCGCATCCGCCTCTGCTCCGCCTCCGCCTCCTCCTCCGCCTCTTCATCCTCTTCTCTCCTCCTCTCCTCCCTCCTCCTCCTCGTTCCTCCTCCTCCTCCTCCTCCTCCTCCTCCTCCTCCTCCTCCCGCCTCCTCCTCCTCCTCCTCCTCCTCCTCCTCCTCCTCCTCCTCCTCCTCCCTCCCTCCTCCCTCATTATCCCCCTCTTCCTGATCCTCCTCCTCCTCCTCCTCCTCCTCCTCCTCCCTCCTCCCTCCTCCTGCTCCTCCCTCATCCTCCTCCTCCTCCTCCTCCTCCTCCTCCTCCTCATCATCATCATCATCATCATCATCATCCATCATCATCATCAGCATCATCATCATCATCATCATCATCATCAGCATCAGCATCAGCATCAGCATCATCATCATCATCATCATCTCATCATCAGTCATCATCATCACCATCATCATCATCATCATCATCATCATCATCATCATCACCATCACCATCATCATCATCATCATCATCATCATCATCATCATCATCATCATCATCATCATCCGCATCATCACCATCATCATCATCATCAGCATCATCATCACCATCATCATCGCATCATCAGCATCATCAGCATCATCAGCATCATCAGCATCATCAGCATCATCAGCATCATCATCATCGGCATCATCATCGTCATCGTCATCACCATCAGCATCATCAGCATCATCATCATCAACATCATCAGCATCATCATCATCGCCATCATCATCATCATCATCATCGTCGTCGTCATCATCATCAGCATCAACATCAGCATCATCATCATCATCATCATCATCATCATCATCATCACCATCACCATCACCATCAGCATCCTTCATCATCATCAGCAGCAGCATCAGCATTAACATCAGCATCATCATCCTCATCATCACCATCATCATCAGCGGCATCAGCATCCGCATCATCATCATCACCAACACCACCACCACAACCATCATCCTCGTCATCATCAGCGGCATCAGTATCGTCATCATCATCAGCAGCATCATCATCAGCCAACATCAGCATCACAATCATCATCAGCAGCATCAGCATCAGCATCAGCATCAGCATCCTCATCATCATCATAATCATCGTCATCATGTGCATCAGCATCAGCATCATCATCAGCATCATCATCGTCATCATTATCAGCAGCGGCAGAATCAGATAAAACATCATCAGCATCATCATCAGCATCAGTATCAGCATCATCATCGTCAGCGTCATCATCAGCATCGTCATCGTCATCGTCATCATCATCATCATCATCAGCAGCAGCATCATCATCAGCATCATCATCAGCACCAGCAGCAGCATCATCCTCACCATCATCACAATCAGCATCATCATCATCATCATCATCATCATCAGCATCATCATCATCATCATCATCATCATCATCATCATCATCATCATCAGCATCATCATCATCAACATCATCATCATCATCATCATCAGCAGCATCATCCCCGTCCTCTTCCTCCTCCTCCTCCGCCTCCGCCTCCGCCTCCTCGTCCTCCTCCTCCTCCTCCTCAGTCCTCCGTCCTCCTCCTCCTCCTTCCGCCTTCCTCTTCCTCTTTCTCCTCCTCATCATCAGCATCATCAGCATCATCATCATCATCATCATCATCATCATCATGATCAGCATCAGCATCAGCATCAGCATCATCATAGTCATAGTCATCAGCATCAGCATCATCAGCATCAGCGTCATCAGCATCATCGTCATCATCATCCATCACCCATCATCATCGTCATCGTCGTCATCATCATCAGCATTATCATCATCAGCATCAGCATCAGCATCATCATAATCATCGTCATCATCAGCATCATCAGCATCATCAACATCAGCATCAGCATCAGCATCATCATCATCACCATCATCATCAGCATCATCATCAGCAGCAACATCAGCATCATCATCGTCATCATCATGCCCGTC